GGAAAAGGAAAAGGCAAGAGAAAAGGCAAGAAAGGAAAAGGAAAAGATAAAGGAGATGGCAAACAAGATGCAAACTATGCAAATCCACAACAGCCACGTTCTTTACCTGCACCTTCAAGATCTTCACAAGCATCAGGAGGTCAACAAGGTTTCTTTGCACATTGTGTGACAGCAGCAGCTGAAGTCCATGACAGTGAGGTGGACTTGCTGTCAGGCATGATGACCTCATGCCAAGATGAAGCTGACTGCGTGGTCAACAATGGTGAGACGATCTTCGATGACATGAGTGCCCCTGTGAGGTACTCTTTGTCAAGGGAGATGCTCACAAAGGCTCCTGATGGCTTTGCGCTTGTGAGCGCTGATGGCTTTGCGCTTATGAGCGCTGAGGAAGAAGTGAAGGAGATGCAGGCCATTTCATTTTTGACTGAGAATCGCTTCCCGCCGACTATTGCAATCCTGGACATTGGATGCACTAGAGCTATGGGATCAAGGCGAGCAGTCGACCATTTTTGCAACTATGTCGACAATCACCCAGATTGTGGATTATGGTACTCTTTTGAGTCTACCAAGAGCAAGTTTTACTTTGCCAATTCCCAGAAGGCTACTTGCTCTCAGAAACTGGTGATTTATATGTATGATCGTGCATGGACGATCCACCATACAGAGTTCGACATAGTGGAAGAAGGAGAAGTCCCTTTGCTTATGAGCTTGCCACAGATGAGGAACTTAGGCTTTGAACTCAGGCTGACACCTCAACATGCTTATCTGACATCGGTGCCTCTTGGTATCAAATTTTTGGAGTTGAAGGTTGCAGCCAGTACTCATCTTGTGTTGGACTTCCAAGATATTGCATGGTATCTGTCTGACGTGCGTTGGCAGACTCAGCGTGAGAAGAGTTTTTACTCTCACCTCACTCACTATGAATATGGCCATATTTCTGTTGAACACAATAGTGATGAAGATGAAGCTGAGCATGCATATCCTGTGGTTGATTTCTGGGAAGTAGATGTTCACAAGAGAGAACTGATACGTCACCACAAGGATTACAGGAAAATTCTTTTCCCAGCAACTAAGTCCTGTCCTGTAGACACTGACTTGCTGGAAGACTTGCGACTAACAATCATCAAGAAGAAAGCAGGAGGAGAAGAAATCAAGAAGACAGATGATTGGCGCAAGGCAAAATGGAAGGACCTACAACTTGGCTATGAATGGCGTGGTAGAACAATTTTTAAATTTAAGCCAGATGCCAAAATTCCAGATCTAAAGATCAGGAAGGCTGGCATTGAGCACCGTGGCATTGGTGATCCCGATGCAGTGGTGCGCTCCTCCTCAGAGAAGGTTCCCATTGCAAAGGACAGGGAACCAGGCTTCTCGTCAGAGAAGGAAGGTGCACCATCCAGTGCCGCGGAAAAGCCCGTGCCGCCAAAGTTCCGGTATACTTCCAAGGGTTTTGATCCATTTTGGAAAGGACACAAGTCAAAACCATCTGAGCCTCAGAATGATTTAAAGGGTGATGATCTTGAGGAGTATGCTCCTTCAGAACCACCTGAGAGGCCAGAAGGTGAACTTGTAGAAATTCCTAAAGCATCAAAAGGACCATCAAGTGATAAACATGAACCACTTGAACCAGGTGATGGCGCTCTTGAGCCTAGGCGGATTTCAATCCCATTACCTGGTAGTGAAGTTGTTGCAATGACACCGGCATATAGGAAGATGTTACAGAGACTAGAGGACAAGGTAGAGCTTTATAAGCTTCATGTGAAGCACTACCATATGAGTCCTACTCAGTTTCGTAGACGTGTTTCTATGTTGAAGCTTCCTGACTCTGTTTTAGAGAAGTATGAATCAGTTGTCAGGAACTGCCGTGTTTGTAACACTTCAGTGGCACCTCCGCCACGAGCCAGAGTCTCCGGTATTAGAGCTTCATGTTTTGGTGATGTTGTTTTTGCTGATCATTGTGAGGTTGAACTTCACAAGAACAAGTATATCATTCTACTTGTTCTTGATGGTGCCACAAATCTTCTCTGGGCTACGGCACAGAAAGACCTCATAGATCAAACCACCATCCAAGCATTGAGGCAGTGGTCTGATGAGAACAATTGTGTTCCGAAGGCCATCGTAGGAGACGAAGCCTTTTTCACAGATGCTTTTGTTGAATACTACAGGTTCCATGGTATACAACAATGTCCTTGTGGGCCAAGAACTCCTTGGCCGAACCGAGCAGAGACAGCTGTACGTTTGTTCAAACGTATGTGGCATGTTATGAAGGTAGATCTGGATGACCCACGTTTTCGTGGTGTTACGGTCAGAGAAGTGGTCAAGAAGGTAGTTTGGGCAAGAAATTGTCAGTTGACTAACAGTGGATATTCACCAATAGAGATAGCAACTGGAAGACGTCCACCAGATCTTTTTGACCTTGAGACCGCAAGCCCTGAGCAATTGTCAGCTAATGCCGCCGCACAAGATCGTACAAATTTGGAACTACAACGTGTGGCTTTGAGAGCTCATCAAGAAGCACGACAAGCTCAGGACCTTCGAGCAGATCTTGCGAGAAGGACTATGCCAAGTGACGGTCCTTACTTCCAAGGAGAGAAGGTTTTTGTTTGGACTCAGGATTCATCAAAGTTCAAGGATAAAGGACGTTGGGTTCGTGCCACAGTACTTGGACAAGAAGGAGCTATGGTCCAAGCCAATACTGGTAAGGCAGTGATACGTGTGAATCAGTCAAAGGTTAGACGTGATCACGATGAGTGGCATGATGTTTCCATTCCGGCATTAGACGATGAGAATCCGGAGAACTTGCGTGAAGATCACGCACTGTATGTTGATGCCGAATTCGGAGAACAGTCCTTTTTCTTCTGTAATGATGATCATCCTGATGTTGTTGAGTTACTTCATGGAAACAGTGGATTATCTTGGTTCCTTTCAAGGAATGGTGTTAAAGTTGCATCTCCTATGGATTTCAAGGCAGGATACAACTTTTCCACTATGAAGGGTCAAGATGGTATTTGGCAGCAACTGGAGAGATTGCAGCCCCACTGTATAGTGATCAACAACCCTTCTCCCAAACAGAACAGAGCTTCTATTTGGTTGCTATGTTGTAATGTGATTGAGTGGCAGTTGAGAAGAAAGAAACATGTGTTTGTGACTGTTCCCAAAGGAAACAAGTTTTGTTTGTTTTTGCAGAAGTTCATTTCTTCGTTGAAGAATCCGGTCTTTAACTTTGATGTGAATATGAATTGTTTTTGTTATTGTCCGAAGGGAATGAGTTACGTGACAGTCTTCCATTCCTATGCATCCTGCCAAGGATGGAAAGGTATTGGTGACTGTTCATTTCAAGCTAAAACAGTGCAAGCCACTAGAAGCAACCAGTACTTTAAGGATCCTGACTGGAAGAAGTTTCCATTTTCATTTCTGGTTGAGATGAATCGTTTTCTTCCTTATAGTGAGACTTCCGATAAGCGTCAGAGTTTTCTTATTGAAGATCTTCTGGAGAATTTTGACTCTGGAAGCTTGTGTGGAACAGCTCTCTTGTTAGAGAGAGAAGCTCATCAGTCAATTTTGTTGAATTCCGTAAGAACGGAAGAGACGACGGAAATTCCGGTTCCACTTCGACACATACTACCACAAAGGTTCACTACTACTGAACTGATCAGAACCTTGAGGCAGGTAGATGCACTACCTCAGAGATCAGAGTTTGATGTGACAACATCCTCTGATTCTCGAATTGTGTCATTGATTCCAGGCCTGAAGGAGATTAGACGAAGAACCTTGCCACAGATGTATTTTGAGAGATGTAAGGTCTATCGTGGTACTTTTGGTAGAGTGCATCCTCTCTTCAACTCTGAGGATGATGCAGTGTTGATTATGTGGAAGCCAGGAAAATACCATCAGGTTTTCTTTATGTTTGTGTCACAACTGTCTCCTCATCATGAACAGTTTTTGGTAGATCATTGGAGTATGATAGTTTACGAAGCAGAGACGACAGGCGCCGTGAAGCGCATTGTGACTCCTGATGAAGTAGCTCTAGAGGATCCAAAGGATCAACCTCCAGACTACGGACCACCGATGGATGATGATATGGCTTATGAGCCGATTCCCGTCTCGGGGGAACAGCAGTATTTTGATCCAGATGATGAAGATATGTATCCGCCTGGTGATGGACCGGATGGCAACCCTGATGATCATCAGGGTGGACAACCTCCGGGACCACCTCCGACAGGTTCCGTAGCTGGTCCGAATCAGTTCGGAAATCCCGATGTTCCTTTGGAGCAACTCGGATATCCATCAAGCGATCCGGAAGAGGCAATGCCGGAGATTACGAGTGAATCCCGTCCGCCAGATGATCCGGGTCAACCACCAATAGGGTTTCCGAGTGATACGGATCCTGTTCATCCGTTCGTTCCGTCGCCAGATTCGAACACGCCGGAGCCAGAACCATATGTTCCGGAGAATCGTGAACGTCACAGTAAGCACATGAGAAGGCTTTCTGTGGACTCAACTGATGCTTTGCCAAAGGCGAAGG